TCTTGGTACAGTCAGCTGATGTATAATACCAGAGTCTTTCAAATATTTATTAAATGCTGTACTCAAATATTCACCCCCATTATCGGTACGAAGTGTTTTTATTGTTTTTCCAGTCTGATTTTCAACTAAACATTTGAAAGTCTTGAAATGGTCAAAAGCTTCATCTTTCGTTTTTAGAAAGTACACGAATACCTTGTGTGTATAGTCGTCTAAGAAAGTTAGCATATATCGTGAACCAGCTATACTTTCCATTTCAATAGGTCCACATAAGTCCGAATGCACCAACTTGAGAACTTCTTCTGTGTGCGTTTCACTGTCTTTAAATGGCAACCTTTGACATTTACCCATGACACAAATTTCACACTTACAATTCGTATCAGTATTCGAAAAATCTAGGCCTGATGCCATACCATTTCTGAGTTTATTCAAACTATCAAAGTTTATATGCCCTAGCCTACGGTGCCATAACATTGAGTTTACTGATGCATGGCATGCTATATGAATATTTTTCAGGTCAAGTTTGAATAAGTCTTCATCTAGTGTTCCTGAGGCAATAACATGTTGCTGAGAATCATAAATCTCACAACCAGTGGCATTAAATAAAACAGAACAATTCTTCTTCACTATCTGGCTAACTGATAACAGGTTCACCTTCAAATCTGGCACATAAACAATATTTTCAATTTCCGTCTGGAATAGGTAGGGTAACGCTACCTATTTGATTTGCACACATTCTTTGATCATTCGCGGTGGAGATGGAACACTCAGTGGTAATTTTGACATTTTCGAGTATGTCCAAATTATTTGTCATATGAATGGTAGCAGCCGAGTCCAAATACCAATCACTTTTGCTGTGATCACTTGGTGCAACTGATAACGCTGAATATAGTGCCACGGTGTGCTTTTCTTTATCAATGCTCTTGTCCTTCTTCGGTTTGTCACAATTCTTGGCAAAATGTCCATACCTGTTACACTGGAAACACCGAATTGTTCTGGTTTTATTTGCTGAACCATTGCCAACTCTAATGCTGGTTGACTTTCTATTCCTATCGGGAAATCTGTTGCTGTACATAGCAATTTCATCTTTAGTCGACTTGACATCCTGCAGTAACTTTGTTTTTATGCAGTCTCCAGTTACTGGTACTCCAGAGCTCTCTATGTCCATAATCATAGGCTCATATTCAATGGGTAATCCAGCTAAAAGTATTGTACCAACCCATTCATCACTAACGTTGAGTCCAACACCAGATAGCTTATGTGCTGTGCCAACAATCTTGTTGACATAGTCTTCAACTGACTTGCTGTCTTCCAGTTTGGTTGTTATTAGGGTTCTGAGTAACCCTACTCTTCGCGTGAGCCCTCTGTCTTCAAAAGCTTTCTTCAAAGCGTCTCATACACCTTTCGCGGTAGTCTGATTTTGCACATGTACAAAATTGATGGGATCAATCAGGAGAATAATCTTACTCTTAGCTTTTGTAATCCTTCTTTCGTCTGTATCAGTTCCTGTCACGCAGCCCCACAACTCTTCATGTTCCAGATAAGTCTTAACAGCAAATTTCCAACTATCGAAATTCTCACGTCCTTGCAATTTTTCAATTGAAGGTAATGCAGTCGACATTCTGGCTGGAAAAATGAGGCGAAAAAACGATCTTTTCGAAACTTATTTCACGATCAACATGAGCCTGGGCCCATAACCTGTTGGCTGAGTGCGATTTGTGGGGAACGGGAAGGCAATATTTATTAATATGTAATGCTTTAATAATAACTACTGCATATACAAAAGTGGCATGAAGTGACAACTTAATTCAATCAATAATCATCGTTATGATACAGAGTGGTAAAGATAGTCAGTGGATTTGATATTGTTTTAAATAGTATTCCAACATATACTGCTATCGCTATCAGGCAGCCACTCGGGACAGCATGATTTTTTTTATAATTGTTCAGCTTGATTAATACGAGTGAGGTATATGCCTGTGGCTGCAAGGCTCATCGCATAAAACTGCACTCACTAACAATACTACAACTGTCAGCCTGCCACGAAAATAATATTTGACGAACCAATGATTTGGGGTTCTTCAGCGCCTACTTATCGTTATTCGATATTTTGCTGATGTTTTCCCCACTATGAGCATTTGTCTGACATCTTGGGTCCCAAAGATAAGTTCAATCATCTCCAGTTGGGCAAACCCTTGTCCCTTGTATACAGGCTGACAATCTCGACGACGCAAAAATCACAAATAATCCTTCTCTTTAATCCAATTCATTATTTCGAATGTGAATCTGACTCCAAATTCAGAATGAAAACATTTTTGAAAGAAAGCAAAAAATCTTCAGTGCCCCTTTCAGTGCTCTCGTTGATCTGAGTGTTTTAGTTATTATCAGGATTGATGGAATAATAAAAGTGAGTTTATTCAAGGCATTTTGACTGAAATATCAATATTTTACATTAACATTTCCAGCAGGGTACATATTTTCGAAAGTAAAATTGGATTTTCAATCCTGGAAAATAACTGAATCACTGCAGAAAGAAGGTCTTGCAACTATCTATTTGATCACCCACCAAGATTAGCAGAGTTATCTACCTATGATAGTAAAATTGCCCTACTCCTATTATTAGATGCACTTACGAACCGTAGCAAAGTAGTATACCTACTACAGAAACATCGTCTGATAGCAATATACAGATGCACAAGCTTGTGGCAGCAAGGTTCTATATCTAATAATCGCAGGTGGGTTATAATCAGCAAAGTCGACTTTATGATCACAGATGATAAGTCGCTTGTCCCCTATGCTATTAGAGTTTCTTGGTGGAATAATTCGATTTCTCACTATGGTTGATAGAAATTCTCCTCAGTGTACTATATTCATTCCAGATATTTCGACTCACCATTCTGCTGAAATTGCTGACTTTCAGAGTAGTGTGGCTTCAGTAAACTGTTATTATATTAGAGGGGGAAGGAATGTCACATTCATTTCCGTTGTTTGATCAATAATAAATCGATAATATTATTTTCAATATCAGAAAATACCGGTTATTAAAATAATTAAAGCTGAGAATTATATCCAGTTCAGATGAACGAGAAAACTATACATAAGAGACAACCTGACAACGAACAAAGCTCACCAGCTGCTGCTGATTACTGATTAAAACTATGAGAACATTACAGCACTGTATTTTCGATTTTATATTTCGGAACACAGATTTCCAGTGGAGTCAGTGGATTTACTAACAGTATATACCTACTGACCAGATGAATTCGGAATATAGCATACCTATAAAGAACCAAATTATACTATTTGTTTTGTATTTGATAGAAAAGAGGAGAGAAAATCCCAAATAAATGAAGAGGATTGAAAATCCCAAATAATCAAGTAAAATGGATGTATCAAATGAACCCTCTCTTGCATATTTCAATTTGAAAAAATAATATGAATTGACAATATGAATATTGACCAAACAATTCGATTTTTCTCAAAAACACCAGAAAACTAAATGTTTACTCTAATGGACGTTGTACATATTCCATCATGATAATTCATCTCCGACTGGTATGGAAATATGAAAAACAATCAGGACAGCAAGGTTCATTACACCTTTTACATATACAGGGTGAGTCATGGCGGATAGAAGAAGTCAATGTGACTTGATAGTATACAGTGTGACCCACTTCTAATGGAAACACCCTTGTATCTTACGTAATCGTTGGGTAAGGATCCTGAAATTTTCTGGAACGAGAGATATACCAAAAATGCAGTTTATGACCAAGTGGGGTCATCTTCAGCTATATACACTGCTCGCCAACATCCATGGAACCACCCCAATTTCCGGAAAATTATATTAGGAGTCAAAATAGGTCTAAAATTACTTCAGATTCAGAATCAGGACGTCCAATTCTCTAACTATTCATATTTCTCCTGGAAAATATCGAGTTCTGAAAAATCAAATTTTGTTGCACTTTTTACGGAAGCACCCCCGTATCTTTCGTAATTGACTTTCTCTTTGGACTTTGCCTTTCTCCTGCAAATTTCAGAACCCTATCTCAATAATTATGTAAGATACAGAGGTGCTTCCATGAGAAGTGAGACAAAATTTAATTTTTCTGAACTGATAATTTTCTAGTAAAAATATGAATAGTTAGAGAATTAGGCGTCCTAATTCCGAATCCGAACTGATTTTCAACCAATTTTGACTCCTCATATAATTTTCCGGAAATAGGGGTGGTTCCATGGCTGTTGGCGAGCAGTGTATATCACTGAAGATAACCCTCGTTGGTCATAGAGTGCATGTTTGGTATATCTTTCGCTCCAGCAAATTTCAGGATCCTAACCAAACGATTACGTAAGATACAAGGGGTGTTTCCATTAGAAGTGGGTCACACTGTATATGTGAAGAAATATATTTTGCCTAAAACGTCTTTGTTATCGCCAAAAAATACCAGAGCCGGACTTGGAAAACTCATTTCCTATCTGAATGTCTAAATTTTGACCTTCTGGATTGTATTCTATAAAAACTATATTATCCGACTCCAAAAAATCAGAAAAAAAGGTTCAAGTTTAGCTCTTCAATTTCACCGATTTGGTAGAAAAAGTATACAAATCAATTCTTTAACATATTATTGATATAGCAGCAGAAAGTTGAGATAAGGTATTATCCGATAAAAAATTCAGGATCCGACTGGGTTTCTGGTAAAGAATACAAAACAATCATAATTTCTGAATCCTCCGGAATTTCTAAAATTGCTTGGATTTCATTAATCCACGATAAAAAAACAAATAAAGGTAGAAACGAACTTTGTGGAATGAACTTGATTAGATGATTATGTTCTTTCAGTAAATGTTTGAATACTTAAAAATATAGTGTACACACAGGTTATCAAATTCCCTCTGCCAAATTTGCATTTGCAATATTTCTATTCCTATTATGAGCCAAGGACAAGAAGTTTGAATCACCTTGTACATTATAACCTGAAACACACCCTTCATTGTATCTTTCACAGGATAACTACAATGTTCTCCACATATCTGCAATGCATTCCAGGGAAGATGTCGTCAAATTGCTACTGACAAAACGTGGAGTGGATCCTTACTCAACAGGAGGTGTAAGTATTTTACTGTCAATAAAAAACATAAAAATTACTCAGAAAAGTTTGGTAGTAATTCCATTTCGTTCTACTGAAATTAGAGATATAATTCCTAAACTCTCACCACTAACAAAACCAAATTGAATTGTAAATGAAACAACGAAACTTTGCATGTTCCTAGCTGATCGTTTGGCACTATAAAATAAAGTTTTGAGTTTATTGTCTAGCACGGGGAATAATTATTGCTTTGTTGACAATGGAACTTTGAGGGTGCAACTGCGGTTTGGAAATGAAACTTTCCGAATGGATTTTCTCGTTACAGAGTAGAAATCAGACGGCTGTACACCTGGTAGCTTCGAGACAAACAGGAACTGCCACGGCTATCCTGAGAGCTCTACTTCAGACTGCAGGAAAAGATATCAGGCTGAAAGTGGATGGTGTAAGTATAATGGTCATTTTTACGCCGACGGGTGTAGAAGTTAGTTTCTCTGGTAACAAAAGAGGGGCAGAAGTCTCGTACTATTCTCTAGGGAGATAATGTGACATATTTTCTCCCTAGGGAGTTTATATCAACTTTGCATTTTCCGCATAACTCTGATGCACTTTCTTTTCGGAACACGCTTCTCTTGAGCGATTATAAGCTGCATCATACAGATTTCTAGATCTCACTGGGTATCAAGTTAAGAATCACTGCAGAAGCAGTATCAATAGTTTCTTGGAGTTTTTCCTCTATTTCTTGTTCCATAACTGTCAACCATTTTCAAAGCAGTTTCCATAAATTCCAGTTTGATATCAGCTGTTACCATGGGGGTTATCAACAAGATGCATGTTGTCAAGATACTAATTCCACAAACTATACTACTACTAATTATGACAAAACACTTTGACCAAATTTTTATTCTTCCTCAATTTTTGTGTTTTGGCCATCGTGAAAAATAGAATATACGCCTCAGGACAGAATGCTATTTTTCCCTCGGTGCTTTGTATCTCTCGGCACCTTGGAAAAAATCTTGCATTTCTGTCCCTCGATGTATAACGTACTATTATACACTAAGGTTGTGAATAATATCATTATTACCCCGGGAAAAAGATTATATCCCGAGGTTTCGGCTGAACCTTGGTACAAAAAACACACTTTAAGCCTTCAGAAAGAGTAAATAATAGTAGGTTCTGCAGCTAGTGGTGAAAAAAAATACTGAACGGCTTCTCATGACCTACACAACACAGATTCGACCACATTTAGAATATGGTTTCCCCATAATATACAGTGTGTACTGATGAAAATGACTGAAAATTGCAGTAGCTGAAGGTATATCAAGAATTCACACTATGGTCAAGTGGGGTGTTTCCATTTGGAAATATGAATTGGTGGGTTTTTGGGGATGCTGATTCTGAATCTGATAAAAACAGATATTCAAAATAAGCCCTAATATCCTTTTCCCAAATGAAAGCCTTTCTTGTACCTCTATACATCACACGCCAATGGTGAATGAAACTGTTCATTCCGCTAAATACTTCATTATTCTAACATACAATCACTACCAAAATTTCAGTTGAATCGCACCATAAATATCTGATATATCAAGGTATATTCATGAAAAGCAGGACACACTGTATGTATATATTAGGAGCAAAAGTTCATTGCCTCCTATGTGTGTTTGATGCACTTCGCTTTGCTTCGTGTATTCAACTCCTCACGCAGGAGGAAATGGATACATTTCCTCCCTTTGATAGCTATTGTTGAACCTATTTATATAGAGTCAGAAAACATTGAATTGAAATCGTGAATATTCGGGTTTTCTCGACAATCTTCGGACTTATTTGGAATTTTCCAAATTTCAAAACCGCATTTTGTTAAGCATAAAATTGTGCAACTTTGCTCCCATTCAACTCTCACTGTAGCTTTTATCGTTTCCGAGATGCGTCTACTCGAATTTTACTCACTCGGTATAACTACGAAAGGATTATTATGATATTCTAAAAATAGATAATTCCTAATGAAAGTCGCCTTGCCTATTATGATATAAACGTGAAAATTGCTGATTATATTTGTTTTTTGGTGAAAACTGATATTATACAGAAAAAATATGTTATTTGAAACTACAAAATTTTTGTAAATTCAACAAAATCTGAGTGTCATATAACCACGACAAAATATTTTGTCACCGCAACAAAAAATGTTTCTTGTCCGTTCTCAATTCAGAATTCATTTGATGTAACCCTTTAATGATTCAAATTAACAGCAGGAATTGGTTGAATAAACAAACACGATTCTGTTGAATGGAATGATCATTTCATTTCATTCAAGTGACGAAAGTTTCAGTTTTTCAGAGAGTGAATATGTTGATCAACCAAATTGTATTCAAGATTGACAAAATATTTTGCTGAATAATATTTGAAGAAATCCAATAGCTGAATTTCGAAACTAAGAGAAATTAGAGATCAATTTCCTCAGTTGATTCAAGACAATCAGCTTGTATAAGCGTCATAAGAAATTCTAAGACAGCCTAATGTAATTATATAAACGGATGGTTTATGTACACCCCAATCGAGGCGAGCGTATGAAGGTTGGAAGAAACGCCACCTGGTGGCGAAAATGCAACTAGATAATCATTCAACAAAATAATTGTTTGATATAATGTATTCGTGGGTTCTGTTCAAGAAAGTAAATTGTTTGAAATAACAACATATTTCTTGATATCTTGATAGTGATGTGTTGAATCAACAAAATATAATGTTGTCGAATAGAAAAATACCATTAATTGGTTGTACAATGAAATGATTGTTAACTCAACAAAATAAAATGTTGTATCAAGTTAAATCTTTGTCGAAATTAATTTAATTTTGTCGAATATACAAAATGCATATGATTGATCGAACAATGAGATAATAGTTGGATCAACAAAATTTGTTTTATGCCAACTATAAATGTTGTTGAATGAAATGAAATTTTTGTTCAAGTAAGCAAATATTTCAATCAAATTATTTTGTCTCTTCGAATAGGTTGCTTATTTGGAATGAACATATATTTTGTTGATTTCGCGAAATTGTGTTTAATTTAACAAAAAAAAATACCAAAACTATTTTGTTGGTGCAACAAAACTTCTTTTTCCGTGTACTAACTGACTTTTTACATTTTGAATGGATCATTAAATGGCCGTGTAATATTGCAATGAGAAAATTAACAACTCAGGAAAGTATTTGTGGAAAATAAAATTTGAAATTTGTCTACGAATACGGATGGTGCTTCTCAAGGTGGGACACACTATATACAGAGAAGTGCACAAAAACGACCAGGATTGTAACTTTTGAATTATTCTAGATAGGGTTTTGAAAATTGGTGGGTAGCAAGAGTACCAAATTCCTCATTATTTAATGAAACAATTTTTCTCCTATCACTTCCAGTTTCACCGGAAACGACCCCAACTCTCGATTTTTAGATGGGACACCCTGTATTGTATTCCATAATCGGTTAGGATTTATCAAGATGAATTCAACGATACGGGGTTTGCTAGGGTTATTTCAAACGATCACAAAGATATTTGCGTTCGAAGTTTCCATATGCTCAATGGGTGTGACTTGCAATATCAAAACTTCTTTCTCTGTCTGTGCATATGGAAACTTAGAACGCGAATATCTGCGTAATCGTTTGAAATAACCCTATCAAACTTGGTATCGATGAATTCGTTATGACAATCCCTAATCGATTATGGAATACAATCCCATTTAAAAATCAAAAGTTGGGGTCGTTTCCAGTTAAACCAGAAGTGATGGAACAAAAATTGTTTCGTCAATTAATGAGCAATTTGGTATACTAGTTGCCCACCAATTTTCAAAACACTATATCTTGAATAATTCAAAAGTTACAGTCCGGACCGTTTTTTGTGCACTTCTCTGTAGATGTCCAAACTCCAAATATCTTTGAAACCGATGTGGTTGTTGCGGTTTCATATTGCATACACTGTAAATGGCCACTCAGCAATAAAGTTTATGCAAAGTCAGTTGAACAGACCATCAAACGAATGTCGGGCCCTGTTATATGTATAATTGAATACTATGAATACACTTCGTATAATAGATAGAATGTATATTGAAGGTTGTGGTATCGATGGGGATCGTTGTTGATTTAGCAATCTTTTGTTATGGAGAATTGTATCTTATATTAAATATTGATACTCAGTTATATTTAGTATTAATTATAACATGGCCCAGTCGAATTAACGAACCAAGTCTGGAAATTGAATACCTTAGAAAGGAAAATGGAATTTTTGAAGCAACCCAAACCAATGAGTCTGGTGGGAGACCTGGGAAATAACTGGAAGAAATTCAAGAGTAGCTTTGAGTTATACTCATCAGCTACTGGCTGCAAGGAGAAAACGCAAGATATTCAAGTAGCAGTTTTATTGCATTGCATCGGAGAAGAGGTTTGTGAAATTATTGAGACATTAGAACTCTCTGTTGATGACAAGAAAAATGTGACAACTGTTGTCAAAAAATTAGAAGATTATTTTCTACCCAGGAGTAACCCGAGTGTTGAGGCACACAAATTCAACTCTAGAAAGCAACTTCCCGGTGAGTCGTTTGAAAATTTCCTGGCAGATTTAAGAAGATTAGCGAATAATTGCGACTTTGGTATCCTCAAAGACAGACTGATCAAAGATAAAATCATAAGCGGAATCAGAGATGCGAGAGTGAAAGATCACCTTCTAAGAGAATCATCTTTGAATTTGATAGGAGCTATTAATATTTGTCGTGCTGCTGAACAAACAGAACAACATATAAAAGATCTTTCAGAAGGAGCGAAATCAATCGAAATTGATGTTATTGGAAGGAAGACAAGCAGTTATAGAAGGAATCCGGAGGTTGATTTCAGAAGGTCAGAACAAAGATTTGCAGACGGAAGATTAACGGAAGGAAGATTTGCAGAAAGAAGACAAGCAGATCAACGAGCAGAACAGAATGGAGCACAACATGAATTTGAGAAACCGAGAAATCGATGCGGTCGATGCGGATTTAATCATAGCTTTAACAGGTGTCCTGCTATGGGTAAAAAATGTAAGATTTGTCTAAAATATAATCATTTCTCGAATTTTTGCAGAACAAATAAGTGGGAAAATGTACATGCTATGACTAGTACTCTTGATGATTCAAAAATTATGAATGATATTGAAACTGACGATTTTGTACTGGGTGTTATTCAGATTAATTCGTTTCAGAATGCAGAGTGTGATTGGTTTGAAATGCTTTATTTGAATGAGTGTAAGAAACATATAAAATTCAAACTAGACACTGGTGCACATATTAATGTGATACCTAGATATATTTTTAATAAACTTGGGATAGATGCATTGTTACAAAACATTGATTTGAATGTTACTAATTACGGGGGTCAAAAATTGGATGTAGTAGGATCATGCAAGTTGAAGGTTTCTCACAACA